AGAAGCAGACCCCCCAGCTGAGCAGGGAGCCCGATGTGGGACTCGATCCCGGGACTCCAGGATCATGACCTGAGCCGAAGGCAGTTGCTTAATCAACTGAGCCACCCAGGCGCCCAGTTTTATTCATAATTTTATCACATTTTGGTCAATTAGAGTTAAGTTTTAGGGACCACATGACTTTGTTTTGTACATTAATATGAACAGAAATGAGAAAGGAAAAGTCTTAAAATGAAGGCTAGAAAGAAGCAATAAAAAAAAAGGGGGTAGAAATACCCAAAGAAGAATTTTTAAAAGGATTAAATGGGCTATGAACTTATATTTGTGAAAAGGCTTTCCTTCTTTTTATCTTCTTTAGTTGTGTTTTTTTTCCCTCCTATTCTATCATTGGTTAAGCTATAGTCCTTGCTTTTTTGCATTACTTTCAGTTACTTTCTTTAATTTTATGACTTTACTCTCTTTCATCCAAAATTCTGGATGAAGGGACCTATAAATATAGAAATGTTAGGATTAGTACTGAAAACATACAAAAATACCAAATTTATTAAACAAACAAAAGACATATAATAAATAAGCAAGCCCTATATAGCTATAATAATGTAGTATAATAATGGACTCCCCCCCCGCCTTACAACTTTACCTGTTTTAAATTCTGAATTCTGGTAAAGGTAGTATCTTTCAACTAATCACTCCTATTAAGATATAGATTAATTTTCTATATGCAGTAAACTTTGTTTTGTTTCATTTTTTTAGACTAGGTAATTTAAAAGAAATTAGAGTTATGCCAGTGAGAGCCTTAGGACACCTAGAGTGTGGTGGACAGGAAAAGATTTTGAAAGGTTAGTAGCAGAAGGAAGTGGCTGGATTGTGTGGATTTGTGGGGGGTGTACTGCTTTGGGAGGTCCTGGGGTAATGAAGTTATTCAGTGTTTGGTGATATTGGCAAAATAATGGGACCTATGTGATCAGAGAAAGACTAGAAATGTGTCTAACTTGAAATTTCATCATTTTGTCTAATTCCAGGACCTTAGTCATCATTTCTCTCTTTGCATCTAAATTTTCCTGTATTTGTTATAGAACTAGGGAGTCAGGAATTTTTCAAACACCAGGAGGATTTGGTTCTTGGTTGCAAACCACTGAAACCAACTCTGACTACTTTGAGAAAAGAAGTTATTGAAGAGGAGGATTCAGAATTAAAGGATAATTTAATATTAAGTAAATTTAATATTAAGGGTAGAAGATAGAACAACAAGGCCATCTAGCTGGAATAGTCTGAGCCCTATATAGCAGCTGGACCAAAATATATAAACTTGTCTTCACTTTGGGGTTATTCGATCAAGATTCACAATTCCAATATCCCGCTTGGGTCATGTTGGCTATAACAAAACATAAAGAATTAGAATCTGGTTCTTTGAGCTTCCATAGTGAGAATCAGGCATGTGCACATGCCCTCACACTAAGACTACACACAACTGAGGAAAGAAATATTTCCAAAAGGAATTCAGAGGGCTATTTAATAGTGGACGTTTGAAGATTTACATAATATAAACCCTACCCAAACATGGATGGAAATTATCTCATTTGTACTGATAAATCAAACAATCGGTAGCTTTGTATTTCTATAGTCATCTATATTTGATGCATTGGAGCAAATCAGGATGCATACGTTATAGATAGAATTTCATTTATCAGTAAGGAGAGTAACTAGCACATAAGGAAATTTTAATATAGATAACATATATCTGCATGTTATTTATAATCTGTTAATCGTGATATATATTTATTCACTTTTTATTTCCTGGATTCTCTATTAGAATGTAGGCAGGAATCTTTTTTGTCTTAATCTTAATACCCAGCAACATGCTTGGAAGTATATGTGCCACACACAGAGGTAATGCATCTCCCCAGATAGATAGGAAATAAATAATAAGGCTAGGGTTTGAATTTCATTTTTCTGAGTTCTTCTCATATTATGCAGTAATACTCTCACTCTAATTACTTTAATTAACTCAAAAGAAACTGGAAGTCCCTTTAAATCATATATGATTTTCTGGCTTTCTGGCTTTCAATCTCATAAAAAACCGTGTTCAAGAAGTGCTTTGATTTGAATATATGTAGCTGCTTTTCAAATCTATGAAAAGAAATCACTAAAACAGTATTTATATATTGCATTTATTATGGAAAGTTTTTCTTATCCTTATAACTGTGAAAGTAATTACCATAAGATGGGGTTTTCTCCAAATTCCAAGAAGATTAATAACCCTTGAGAAACTTACAAGGCTTGACACAAGAAGGGCCTTCTTTCTTGGCAGTGTTATTTCACTTTAAGAATCCTGCATAAAATAAATAAAGTTGTGGAACAATCAGTGGTTTTCTAGCAATCTTGAGAAAGTTAGCATATTTTTCTCTTCAGAATTCAGCTGATAACTCTGAATCTGCATTTTGTAAACTAAATAACACTTTGCAAAATGTTACCAGGTAAAGGGAAAAAAAGAGATCTGTGATCAAACATATTTGGTAAGTGTTGGTTAAAGACTATCAAAGTCAGGGTGCCTGGGTGGCTCAGTCAGTTAAGCGTCTGCCTTTGGCTCAGGTTATGATCCCAGGGCTCCCTGCTCAGCGGGAAGCCTGCTGCACCCTTTCCTCCCTGGTTGTGCACTCTCTCGCTATCTCTGTCACTATCTGTCTCTCTCTCTCAAATAAATAAGTAAAATCTTATATCAAAGTCTTTTTTTTTTACTACAAAAGTTTTCAGATCCTTTAACTCACTAATCTTTCTTACAAATTTCCAAGAGAAAGGTTACACAGTGCAGTATTTCCAAAACATGTTTGATAAAGGAACTCTTTCTTTTTTGACCTACCAACTGCAGGTCCTTGAAAATTTGGGGAAATACCAGTACAGATAATTAGAAAGAGACCTGTTGATGCATCTTATTTTTTTAAATAAATTATTTGCTTTGATTATTGCACATTCTCACCTGTTGCTACAAGTTCTGCACAGACTTCTGTTTTGATAGTGATTTCCCAGCTTCTCAGTGGTTTATGTTGTCCATTCTCAGGTTGTCAAATACATTTTCACTGGCTATTCTGAAATAAAATGATGAATCCCCCAGTGGGATAAAAAAGTTTTAGTTAGCAAGTTGAGGGTTTCCAAGATATAGAGTATTCTTTCACCATGTTGTAATCCAAATGTAGACTAGAACACAGACTAAGAGCTTTGAGAATTTGCATGACATGATACAGAACTTTACTTTTCCAGGATCTGTTGTAGTCTGTAGGTTGTATTATCTCATAGCTGAAAGAAATTATAATTCTGATGGTAATAAAAACAAATCAGTAATTATTCAATATATGTCAATTACTATACAGGTAGATTCAACTAATATGTTACTGTTGAATGAATGAATAAATGCATGAAAAGAAGACCTATTAAAATACTGAGATCATAGTCCTTGAGAACAGAAGGTCAAAAGAATATATATGATAAAATTGCTTATGGAGATTTAATGTCCTAGTACTCATTTTTGGTCCCTTAAATTTAGTATTCAGAAGAACATTCCAGCTGTAACATTCTAACAGTAACAGAATTTTATGTGATATTTTCATAGTAATAGAACTATTCTATATTATAGTCACATAAAACAGCAATAAAATTATGTTGCATAGGCAAAAAGTAGAGTAGAGGTTATTAATCCACTTTATAGCATATTCTTTAACTTTTAAAACAAAGTTTTCTGGGGGCGCCTGGGTGGCTCAGTTGGTTAAGCAAATGCCTTCAGCTGGCGTCATGATCTCGGGGTCCTGGGATTGAGTCCTGCCTCAGGTTCCCTGCTGGGTGGGGTGTCTACTTCTCCCTCTCCCTCTGCCCCTCCCCCTGCTTGTGTGCTTGCATAAAATCTTTACAAAAAAAAAAACCACGAAGTTTTCTGGCAAATATTGCAGAGATAATGCTGATCTTCCCTGCAAAAGTAATATCCATAAACTCACACAATACAAAAACATTGTACAATGATCATATTTTTCTTAGGAAAAATTTTGTAATCTATCAAATGTACCTGGATTGCCAAGATGCTAGGTTTTACACCATTGAGTTAGTTAATTTTTTTAAACGTGGAATTTAGTTAATAATTTTCCAATTTCTTGAAATGGGAAATCTTACAAATCTTACAAAAACCAAGGACCAAGAGCATAAATGTCTAGGCTTACTAGTAGGACCATAATACTCCCCTTTTCACAAAGAACACTAAGAAAAAAAAGATATATATGTATACACACACGTACACACACACACATATTCTCTTTTAGAAAGGTAATTTAGCAATACCTAAATAAATGTTTCTAATCTAATCCAGATTTTTTATTCTATTGATTGTTGCTTGTTTCTAACAAAGCAGCAATGTCAGAGGCTTCATTGAAGTTTTGGATGGTATTAAGATGAAGATCATGTCATTGGCATATACCCTGGGAAGGGAAAAGTAGAAAATTCATCCTGACTTTTTATGTTATCGTGTACATTATGCTGAATTAAAATAATAAAATTTCATCTCCAAATTTTGGTGTTCTACTAAGAAGTCTGAAAGAACTAGAGCAATGAGGGAGAGGACTTAAAATTACAAGCAAAAACATGGATATATATCTGTGCTTGAGCCCAGTTCATTCTATAGTTAAAGTAGGTCAAGAAACTGGATAAGGAATATAATGAAACAATAGGGCACACAGACCTTTCTGAGGAAAACTCGAAGCCATAGTTGAAAAAAATTAAAGAGATAAAAAAAATTTTTAAATTGAAGAGATAAAATTTTCTTAAAAAATTTAACTGAACACTTAAGCATACTAATTTAACATAACTTTTCTAAAATGAAGGCACACTGTTTCATTTGTTTTTCAATTTTCTGTCCACGGCTACTGGGTAGGTAGTCCGGGGCAATCTTGGGAAGCAAAGGACAATCTGAACCCTCCAATCTACTATGGCAAAGATAGAGTAGGTGCTAAATCCAAAAAGAGAACATTTCACTAGTGTCTGGACAATATATAGACTATTTGTTCAAAAGTCGGAACGAGGGGCGCCTGGGTGGCTCAGTTGGTTAAGCGACTGCCTTCGGCTCAGGTCATGATCCTGGAGTCCCGGGATTGAGTCCCGCATCGGGCTCCCTGCTCGGCGGGGAGTCTGCTTCTCCCTCTGACCCTCCTCCCTCTCGTGCTCTCTGTCTCTCATTCTCTCACAAATAAATAAATAAAATCTTTAAAAAAAAAAAAAAAGTCGGAACGAAGGCAATGGGATTGGTGTGCAGTTACATGGGATGCCATGGATGAACAGATACTGCTCCAAGCTGGCGATTTGGACACAAATGATACAGCTCTATTTCCTACATTAGGCAGTGGAACTTTCACATCTAGCTTCTTTTATTCTCCCAAGTTTCCATTTTGTTGGCTACATGGCACCTGATGAATTATGTCCAAATATCTTAGTTTTAATTATTCACATATGGAGTGAAACTGAAATTATCTTTCCAACCAATTCTCACAATATTGTTTTTAACATAACCTGTGCATCATTCAACTGGCCGATTGCTATTTCTCAAACTTTGGTTTTTTTCCACCTCGCTGCCTTTGTGACTCTTGACCAAACTATTGAAATATACTTACCTTCATGTGAAAGAAGTAACTTAATGAAAAAAGAATGAGATCTGAAATAACATAGACCTCAGTTCAGCATCAAGCTCCATAGAGTGGCATAGTTAGGTACACAGAAAAGTCGTTTTTCATATAATTTTAAGGCAGACAGTTTTCTTTCTTTTGTCATTCCTAAAAATGTGTTTAGTTTCCTTTAGTTTTGTAAAATCTTAGCAAAATCTTGACTGGTAAAGTTTAGGTTAAAGGGGTGTTGAACTGTTTTGTAAAATGATGTGAAAGAACATCTGTTAAGGGTGAAAACATATTAACATATTAACATGCTAGTTCATTTTTGGCTTCCATTAGGCACCTTAGGACAAGGGATACGGGGCCTTGAAACTAGCTAAGTATGACAGGATGTGAGTTACTCTGATTTCAAAAGAGGCAAACAACAGCATATGACAGCTGGTTGGTGCCAAGACAAATGAAGTCTTGTGAAAGATTTTCTGTTGGAGTTTAGCTAATGGATGTCAGGATCATTTATGATCATTTAGTCTCAGAGGTTTTTATTTTGTTGTTGTTTTGTTTTTCTTTCCCCTGCA